CGAGTGAAGCAGGCATTGGTGGATTCAGAACGAGGTCGTACGAAAGTGTATGTCATAGAGGAGTACGGTGTGGGCAATCGTTTAGTGTTTTCTCACCATGGCATCAGGCAGGAGCACCAGGAGCTCGTCTCTGATTAAGAGTTGTGCTCGCTCGGTGTTTGCGGTGAACGTGCCTATGAGGACGCGGGTCATTTCGTATCGGATCGAGACGAGGTCCAGCTTGGAACAGGCCGGTCGCCAACGTAGACCGTACGTGGGTCACGACGATGACGATGATGACGGCGACGAGGACTTGGACGAGGGAGGAGAAGAAGGAGAAGACGAATGGGGGGTGCGATGGGTGGAACGTTTGTTTGATCAAGTTATGGAACGCATTGCCGGTGAGGAAGGATTGACGGCGCGGGATCAAGTAGGCATGACCCTGTACGGTGGGGACTTGGAATACCCAGTGTCGTTGGCCATACGTCCGTACCACACACCTCAATTTCAAAGGCTGATGTTGACCAACGCCATCGAAATGATTCAGCAGTCCAAGAGGGAATGGATGTTGGGTCGATCATTGGACATTACGGTGACGGTGATCAAAGACGTGAAGGGGCGAGGACGGGTGTGTACGACGACCATCATGACTTCTGAACTGTTGCGAGATCGGTTGGAAAGGGGAGTTCTACGGAAGCCGCCGGCGGCGGTGGGGTCGAAGGTAGCGGAACACGTGATTCAGATCTTAGCGTGGCGAAGCGTAAGAACGAGGGACGAGGTGAGGCAAGAGTTGGAGGTGCAGCACGAATGGACGTGGGAAGAAATATTGACGCGTTGGTGCGTCGTGCACCCTACCACGAACATCTTGGTCCTTTGCCAAAAGGGAGGTCCGGGWGCGCATCACGAGGTCATCTGGAAAAGCGTGTACAGCAGCGAAACGGAGGGATGGGTGATGTGGCTGGACGAAGGAGACCCCGCGATGCTGGACGTCGTGTCGCCCAACGTGTTGTATGGGGAGGCCGAGTTTTTGCACCATCGGTTGTGCTTGAGGTGCGGCATGATTCATCGTCATCAAAGAACGCATGCCTGCAGTGAAAAAAAGGCCTTAACCAAGTACGAATTGGGCAAGAGAAGGCCGCACTACAAGGCCACGGAGGAAGCCAAGCGGCGTAAGGTCTCGCGGGTCTTTGACGACGAACACGAGAATTGCCTGGGTAGGGCCTTGTACCGGGCGCTGAAGGGGTTGGGGTTGGAAGTGACGGCTGAAGGAGGGTACGAGAAGTCTTTGCAGGATTGGTACGGTGAGATGGGCATGGAGGACACCTGGGATCAAGCGTGCGGGTTGGACGACGTCAAGCGGTGGTGTGCGAGCATTAACGAGGGCTACGCGACGGATGAGGAACACGGATTCGAGTTGTGCGTGTATGACGAGAAGAACCGGTACGTGGTAGCCTCGTTTGGGAGCAGTGTAGGAAAAGGCAAGGGCACGTTGACCCCCATTTACTTGAATTGGATGGACGAACACTTTACGTGGATCGAGTCTATGGCCGGGTGGTTGGGGCGGGTGTACTTCTGCACGCAATGCAATAAGGGGTACAGCAATAAGGAAACACACAAGTGCGTACGTCCTTGCTTGCGATGTGGGGAAGAGCGGAACGACCACTACATCAAGTATTCTAACGAACGCATCACGTGCGACGCCTGTCACGTGGGGTTTTGGTCCGGGGTGTGTTACCGTTCGCACCTGATGCGACGTCGCAAGGGATCTTTGACCTATACCACCTGTGAACGACGGCACGTGTGTCGGGAGTGCAAGACCACCGTGGATCGGATGCGCTACGACCAAAAGACTAGGGTGTGGTACATGGTCGACGATCACGTCTGCTACGAATACGATTGCTTGGTGTGTCGGGAGACGAAAGTAAAGCGAGGAGAACACTTGTGCTACGTTAAGGGAGTGAGCAGCGATCCTACGGAAGCACGACCCAAGAAGAAGAACGAAAAGCGTAAGTTCTTTCTCGCGTTTTTTGACTTTGAGGCTCGGTGCCTGGAGGAACGTCACGTGGTCAACAAAGTGGTAGTGCTGCTGACGTGCCACGAGTGTGCTTCTCACGTGGAAGAGTACCGTACGCGAGGGTGTGCGGGAACGTGCGGCCGTCAACGGATGTTCGTGTTTGACGATGCCTCGGCCTTCATGGATTGGTTGTTGGGTCCCAAGCGCGACGTGCATGCTTTGTACACGTTTATGGCCCACAACCTTAAGAGGTACGACTCGTACCCTATCCTGGAGGAGTGCGTCAAGCGAGGCATCAAGCCCAAGTGCGTGTACCAAGGGAGTAAGGTCATTACCATGACGCTGGAAGGGATTGCGTTTAAAGATTCGGTGTGCTTTATTCCCATGGCTCTACGCAAGTTCCCAGCCACCTTTGGAACCTCGGGAGGCGACAAGGGCCACTTTCCTCACTTCTTTAACACGTTGGAAAATACGCAGTACGAAGGTCCTTACCCTGCCCCCGAGTATTACGGCGTGGACGACATGGATGTGCGCGAGAAGGAGAAATTCATGGAGTGGTGGCACGAGCAAGAAGGCAAGACGTTTGTTATGAAGAAGGAAATCGAGAAGTATTGCATCCAAGACGTAATGGTCATGGCCCGGGGATGTCTAAAATTTCGGGAGCTGTACGTCGATAAGTTTGACGTGGACCCCTTTGCGGAGTGCGTCACCATTGCCTCGACCTGCCTGACGGTCTTTAAGAAGAACTTTTTGGAATCGGAAGTGATGGGCGTCGTGCCGCCATTGGGCTATCGCCAGCGGGACATCCAATCGGTCCAAGCCCTGGAATGGTTGCACTCGTTGGGGCTGCCTGAACTGCGTTGGGCCGGAGGCACGCTGGGCGAGTTGACCTTGCAAGGCAGCAAAGTGGACGGGTACGATCGGCGAACCAACACCGTGTATCAATTCCACGGGTGTTTCTACCACGGGTGCGAAGTGTGCTTCAGGCGAAGTCAGGTTCATGCTCATTTGGGGGTGACCATGGGCGATCTGTTCGACAAGACGCGGGAGAGAACGTTGGAACTGCGTGCTGCGGGACATCACGTCGTGGAAATGTGGAGTCACGTGTGGGATGCGGAACGGGAGTATCACGTGTTCCCCGAGTGGATCAAGAACTTGGACCCCATACAGCCTCGCGAAGCGTTGATGGGAGGACGCACCAATGCCGTGGGACTCTACGCGTACTGCGAGGGGGAGGTCCAAGTCGACGAGTCGGACGACGAGGCCATGGCCTTGATGTTGTGCTCGGACCCCGTGCATCGCATACGGTACGTGGACGTGGTGTCGCTGTACCCTACGGTGATGTGGGAGGAAGAGTACCCCATAGGCCACCCCATGGTGTACTTGGGYGAAGACTTRGAYWTRGAYCCCGAGGAGATYGCGGATTGYATTYTSGACGAAGAGTGGTTTGGCTTGGTCAAGTGCGACGTCGACCCTCCCCGCGGATTGTTCTTCCCCGTGCTTCCGCGCATYGCCGACCACAAGCTGATGTTCACGCTGTGCGCGGCTTGCTGTGACGAAAAGGACGTGGACGAGGGTGGAGAGTGCACGCACACCCTAGAAGAGCGGCGTTTGCGGCACGGCGTGTGGACGACCCCCGAGTTGAAGGAAGCGCTGAACCAGGGGTACGAAGTGGCTCAGGTGCACGAAGTGTGGCACTACCCCGAACGCAGCAGCGACTTGTTTCAATCGTACATTCGTGAAAATCTAAAAATGAAGATGGAAGCCTCGGGGTGGCCGTCCGATTGYGACACGGAAGAAAAGAAGCGGGAATTCATGCGGTCCGTGAAGRCCAGTCAGGGCATCGATCTTCAKTACGARAACGTCGTAARRAATCCGGGGCTGCGTTCGGTGGCYAAGTTGAACCTRAATTCGTTGTGGGGCAAGTTCGGACARAATCCGTTTCGCGGYAARGTYGAGTACGTCACGGARCCTTGCCGCTTCTTCGAACTGCTGCACGACGATACGGTCAACGTGAAGACGGTGCTGCTGTTGACGGGCGACATGGTGCAAGTCAACTACGACGTGCACCGCGAGTCCACGGTGTGCAACCCCAACGGCAAYGTCGTCATCCCTGCGTTCGTGACGGCCTGGGCCCGTTTGCGGTTGTACGACAAGCTGAGTGCTYTGGGGGACCGCGTGCTGTACCAYGACACGGATTCCATCATCTACAAGACGGYGCDGGAAGGRGACGAGGARCTGGACACGGGGGATCAGCTGGGGCAATGGTCGGACGAATGCGGCGATTCGGACRCCAACTGGATYGTGGAATACGTGTCCTTGGGCCCCAAGACGTACGCGTACCGYACCAARAAGGRCGAGTGCGTCGTGAAGTGCAAGGGCATCAGCTTGACCCCCTGYGCYAAAGAACTSGTCCACYTRAAGAGCATGAAACGTCTGCTBGTYCAAGAGRASGAAAAGGTRACGGTGAGTTACCCRCGMAAGATCGTGAGGGACAGCACGCACAAGGTGCTGCGAACGGTATCCATGGACAAGGACGTTCGCTTGGTTTATACCAAGCGAATACGTATTGATCAGGGCCTGACCACGTTGCCTTATGGTTATTAAAGGTCCATAAAAGAAGGGGGACATAAAGGGAGACGTGWTCRTCRKCATGACTCAAATCGCCGCAGGACGAATCGGACGTTGGTTGGCCAAGAAAGCCGCCGCCATCGTGTCGGGAAGCAACGAAGAAGATCAGCCTGATGGCGACATCAGCAACAACCGCATTGGGTGCGGACGTCAAGCACGCATCCGATGCTGCCTTTCGTCGTGCTGCGGGGGATCCATCGTCATCCACGCGCAAAGGTCGATCCGCCGCTGGAAAGACGAAAGGGAAGAAAGGAAAGAAGAGCATCGGAGCCGCCGCCGCCACGGTGGCCAGCAAGAAGCAAGCTTCCAAATGGTACAGTCGGTATTTCGAAGTGGGGGCGAAACACCCCCAAGCCCTAGCGGGAACCTTCGCGTTTTTGTCCGACCCCGGCGACGTCTCCAAGGGACCTCAAGCGAAAGCCACGAAGAAGAAATGGCTGGAAGCGCAGACGACACATCATATTCATCGCCCAGCACGGCGTAATTATCCTCGTCGTCCCTTTGTCGTGTTTTCCATGGACGAGCAATGGCAGATGGATTTGTCGGACATGACGTGGGACAAACCGGCCAATGATGGGATGGGGTGGATCTTGTTCGTGGTCGACGTGCTGTCTCGGTACTGTTGGGTACGACCGCTGAAACGAAAGACAGGGGAAGAAACGGCGCGGGGCATTCGCGAAATCTTTGAGGAAGTGGCCCAAGACCCGGACAAGAAACATACGTTGCCBCGTACCGTGTACGTAGACAAGGGGAGCGAGTTTTACAACAAGGACGTCAAAGACTTGTTTGCCGCCTGCCCCCTTCCGCCCAAGCTCATGTCGGGAGARTCCACCACCAAGGCCGCCATCGTAGAACGGTTGCAGCGAACGTTGAAAGGTCGGCTGTGGAAGTACTTCTATGAAAACGGGACCCGACGGTGGGTGGACGTGATTGGTCCGTTGGTCGAGTCGTACAACCATCAGCGCCACGGCACGTTAAAGCAATCGCCGGCCTCGGTTCATCGTGGGAACGAAGGGGAGGTGTGGAAAAAATTGTATGGGGAGTACGGCCCCGAACGAGGAGCGCGACAAAAGCTCAAGGGGCCTTACGAGTTTAATGTGGGCGACGTGGTCCGGATCAGTCGTCAAACCACGATCTTCGACAAGGGCTACTTGCCTCAGTGGTCGGAAGAATGGTTTAAGATTCGAGCCCGCGATCCAGGCCCTCCCGCGTGCTACCGCTTGATGGACTACGACGGCGAGGATATATTAAAGGGCACGTTTTACAAAGAGGAGCTGCTCAAGGTCGAAGAVGAAGAAATAAAGCACATGCGTTATCGCATTGAGAAGATACTTCAACGCAGGACGGACCCCACTACAGGTCGTTCCCAAGTGCTGGTGAAATATCAAGGGTGGCCTGAAAAGTACGCCAATTGGATCGACGAACGCCAAGTCGAAGACTTGGGCCCCAAAAAGAAACCATGAGGTTGGAACGCAAACCGTTTATCTACTGGTTCAACAGCAAGCCCGATCCCGAGTACCCCCAAACCAACGACAACACCGCCTCGGAATTCGTGGTCCAGCTGCCCATAGGATGGCACTTGCCGGGCGTGTGGTCGGTGGAAATCCAAGCCATTATGACGCCGGAAACCACACAGACCAAAGGAGACTTGCTGCTGTACACGAATCTCATTCGCTACGAGATCGTGGGCCACGATTACTTTCCGCTGATCGAGCGCATTACCACGTCTTCCGCTCAATCCATCCGCTACCAAGAATCCAAGCATCCCTTCCGTCGTCGTGTGAACCGCAGTTACCTAGAGAGCGTAGGATTTAAATTGGCCGACACCAAGGGTCGCCCACCAGTCTGGCTGAAAGACAGACCTACTAAGGACACCACCCTTTGCCTTCTCTTCACGCCTCAAGTCGACGAGTACGATTCTTCCTCCATGAGCTTGACGCTTCTGTCCAACCAATCCAAACCTCGCTTTCCTTCCAACCGACCAGGAAATTTTACAGGCGAACTACCCGCATCTCAAAGAATGAGTGATCAATGGAGAGTAGGAATGACCAAGGTGACGCTGCCGCCCGTTGCCAGCACGTCCAAGTCCACGCAATGGACCTTTAGACTGGATGCAGGAGGCTACCTGAAAAGCAAGCTGCCTCCTGGGGCTCAGCACACGTTTACCCTAGACAATGTTAACAGCTCTCAAGATTTGTGTGCTCAATTCAAGAGAGGCGTGGATGTCGTGTTTGACAGTTGGTTTCCACAAACGCAAGAAAAGCCATCCAATGGGGGCGTTGGAGGAAGGGGCGACGGAGCTGGGATCGGAGGAATGCAATTGAACCAAACGGCCACGTGGGTGGACGACTCCTCGGGCAAGGATGTGTTGATTGCGATCGACCTCGAAGGCAGGAAGAGCTTGGACGACCTATGGGATCGATTTTCTGCCAATGGAATCACCATGGGTTCCGACCAGACCAAAACCAAGTGGGACTTCACGTCACGTCATAGCGTGCTGGTAGGCCCCAACGCTCCAACCAATAACGAGGTCATGCAACGGTTGGGGTTTTGGACTCGGGATGCTAACATTGCTATACCTGGAACGCTTCAACAAGACGGCACGACTCAATGGCATTCCTTCCTTTCTCCCTTTGTCAATGACTTTAAGCAAGATCATTCCTACGTGTATCTTGTTCAGACCAGCCTTGAACTGAGCACGTTCAACCGCTTTTACTTGAAGATGGGATTCTTTGAGCGTCTAGGAACCCTAGATGATCCCATGGATCCTACGGGACCAACGAGTACGACCGTCACGCCCAGCGAGTTGTACCTGACCATGCCCAAGGGGTTCTAGGACTTGCTGAACTTTAACAATGGATCGAGTGCCGGACTGGAATATGAAAGCGTGGATGCCGCCGTCATGGGTCAAGGCGAATTTGTCAGGATCACGTGCAAGGAAGGATGGAGGCCTTCAGGTCATGTCGAGTCCGATCAGAAGACCAATACGGAGCCGCAATCCAATCGCGTGGCTCGTATCAAGGGGTATCAGTATACTCAGCTTCGAGGCAACCAGGACGTCATTGGTCCTCAAAGTGGTCCCTACGCTATTGACGTGGTTACCAACACCAAGGCCGTTCCCAAGAATGCGTACGTGACCTGCAGTCTAGTCCACAATCAACATGTCGGCGATCAGAACATCCCTCTCATGGACGTGGTTCCCCTCTCGTCCGTGTCCATGGGTGCTGCAGCCGAACCCAAGGAATACGTGTTCGAACCCCAACACGTTAAATACTACCCCCTCTCCAAGAATGCGTACCAGACCGTGGCCTTTGCCGTACAAGACGAAGCAGGACAAGAGCTTCCCTTCCTCAATTCAGGAGTGACCACCGTATCGTTGGATTTCAAGAAAGGACCATGAACATTCCCATCTACGTCCCCCAAGAAGGAGGCGGTAACATTCCCGTCTATACCCCTCGACAAGCCGGAGGAGGACTAAGCATTGGACGGTTGGGGCGTGGGGCCATGCAATACGTTCTACCGAAGATTAATGCTGTAAAAGACGCTGCCGTGGACCGAGGAGGCAAAGCGTTGGCTAACGTGGCCTCGGAGGTACTGGAAGGTAAAGATTTGAAAGAAGCCCTCAAAGACGAAGCGACCGAAGCTCGAGTTGACTTGAAACGAAAGATAGACGCCGAAGCCAGCAAAGTGGGAAGCGTCAAGAAAAGCATCAAGAGTTCTGGATCCAAGTACGCCAAATCTACCCTAAACGCTTTGTTCGACTAGGAAAACATGAATCAAGCCCGACTGATTACTGAGAATGGCGTATTCAAGCGCATCAGCGAAGAGCGGTATACCAAGTACATTACGTACCGTATGACCCATGGACCTCAACAAGGCATACGGACTAAAGAAAGAGACATTGTAAAAGCTTACGATATTTTTGTCAAGATGTACGATGGACGCATCGCTATGGTTGTAGATTAAAGAAAAGTAAAAGAAGACACGGTGTGTTCGTTTCATTGATTTTTCTTTATTTCACGACTAGGGGAGTATGACTTGGGGAAAGGGTTCGTTGGAATCTTTCAAGTCTTCAGGGAAGGGGTCCAACGACAGTCGGTACTCGTCGGGCGTGGATTGATCAAAGTCCATGATGAGCGGACGGAACGGTCGCGTGTTGGCTTCCTCCAACGCGCGGTTCAACCACTTGGCTTGACCCGGAAACGCTTGGCGCGCCAAGGCTTGCAGCTGAGACTTGTCTCGAGGATTGCGAAACAGCACGATGCGGTGGGCGTTGAGGGAGGCGGTTCGCATGTGGGCGGGAAACACGTTTTGCATGAGCACGACCAAACTCACGTCCATGTGATGGGTTCCCTTGGTAAACCACTTGGCAATTTGACGATGATCCGATTCCATTTCCCCCATCAGGTCGTCCGCGATCAGCAGTCCTGGGGTTCGCTTGAATAGGGCATAGGGGTCGTCGGGCAATCCTTTGACCCACTTAACCTCGTCTCCAAATTCTTTTTTCATGTTGTCGTACTCGTCTTGCCATATGCTGTACAAGTACACCACGTACTTAATGGGGKGATCGAACTTCCACGTCCGATGACGAATCATCTTGCGGATGAACCGCGTCTTGCCACTCTTGGAGGGTCCGGCCACGACGATGTTGCACGGATGCTGCCATCGTGAGTTAAACGGTTTGATTGCTTCTACGTTCATGCTAGTTTCTTTCTCTTGGCGTCGCGAAGAAAGCGAATGTACTGATCCACTACCTCGTGAGGACTCCTGTTATACCCTTCCTCGGCTACGATGCCTCCTTGTTGACTGTGTTTCTTGCGACGAGGTTTGGATTTGGACACTCGCGATTTTCGCTTGCGCCGCAGTACGCCGCCTTCAATCGTCGCGTCATCGCCGCCGCCATCATCATCGTCGTTGTCGCTGCCGGGACCGGGGAAGGTTTGACTGTTGTGCTCGCGTTCCACTACGGGCCGCTTGCCTCGACGGACCGTGGTCACGGTGGTGGTATTGGCGATGGTTTGATGATCCCCTTTGCCTAATTTTTTGCGCAAGGCTTTCGATACGGTATCTTGATCCGCGTTCTTGAAGCGTTCCCCATGATCGTCATTAGTGTCGTCATCGTCGTCATCGCCATCGCCGCCATCGCTGCCGTTACCATCGTCCCCTCCGGGATCGTCCCACCCTCGGTCATCATCCCCACCATCCCTCCTCCTGTCTTGTTCGGCTTCCTTGCGCAGCTGCAGTCGTCGCGCTAGGGCTTTTTCCAGGGCATAGCGAATCCGCATTTGAGACGTTTCGTCAAACTTGCTTTGATCGGTAGCTTCCAATTCCTTGACGTACTCTTCCACTTCGGCCAAGTTCATCCTTTTTTCGCTTCGATTGCCTCGCCATCGACCGTCCACCCGCGTCATCACGTTCTTGATGGTAGGCGTCAAGGTCTCCTTCACCTGGGGGTACTTCTCCGCCAACGATTTCAAGGCCTCGGCGTACTCGCGCAATTCCTCCTTGTTCATCTGATCCAACGTAGCGTCCGGCAACGACGTCAATCTCCCTCCGCTGCTTGGCGTCCATGCCGCCAAATTCGCCACTTCCGAAGGGGGTGATGCTGCAGGCGATGCTGAGGGCGAAAAGGTTGGCGATACACCGGGTGATCTCTCGGGAGATGAACCTGGCGACGGTTCGGGTGATGGCGGGTCCATGGCTCGGGCCAAGTCGCTTCCCGTCGACAAGGGCGTGTCGCTGGACAACACGCTCGCCATGTCGTCTGGCAAGTTGAACGGCGAGCCCAACAACAGCAGCATGTCCTCATTGTAGTCGTGCGTGGGCGAAGAAGGCAACGGCGACAGGGGCGGTAGGACGGGCGTATTCATCAGGAAGCGATTGGCAGCCCGTTCGGCCGTGGACGTTGTACGGGGCGTTCGAGGAGCAACGCCCGGAGCTTGRAAGAAAGGCTCGCGCTCGGTATGCTGGCCTACACCGTAACGTAGGTATAAATCTTGAGCCCCCACACGTTCATAGGACATAACGTCGACGCACCGAATGTTTCACAGCATGGATGGAAAGTCCTATATACGCTCCTTGGCRCAATGCCACCCCACGCAAGTGGTTCCTCTGCTACGTAGCGGTAGCGACGACCAATGGAAGTACATCAAAGACATGTGCAAAAAGCTAGCCAATGGGGATCTCCCCATGAAGGGAGGCAACAGGAAAATGCCCAAGGCCGCTCGACGTTGGTTCGGGTCGGTGGTCAACGATCGGCATCCTTCCATTCAGAGCCTACGACGCTCTAGCCTTCAGCGAGGAGGATCCAAGGCCGAATTGGTCGGCACGGCCATCAAAGCTCTGGCCAAGATCGCCGCTCCCAGCCTCAAAAAAGCCGGCGTGAGTCTGGCCAAGCATGCGGCCGCAGGAGCTCTAGCCGAAGGCATTAACGCGGCCACGACCAAAATCAAAAAGGTAGGAGCCCCCAAAGAAGATAAAAAGGAGGACCCCTCGACCGCCGAATCGCTTCAAGACTTTGATTACGACGGCGACAACGAATTGAAGGACTTGCTCACTGAAACATAAAGATCATGGTTAATTACAAGAAAGGACGACGTCAACGCGGAGGCAAGAAACGTGCAAAGCATACTCAGTTGGGCGGAGCCAAACGAAAACGTTCGTCCACCGCTCCCAAGATTAAGGCGGCCCTGCGTGGAACCTTGGCTCCTGGCATTCCCGACTACGGGCCCGTGACCAACCCCTTTCACATTCGATTTTCACAACCTCGCCCCACCATGCCCTCCAACAAGGTTCAAACTCTTCGCCGCATGGCTCCAGCCAGTCTCCGACATCTTCCGTCCAACAACGACTCCTTGGACGTCGTCATAAAAGGCCGACCCGTTACACTTTATCCTAAAGGTCGTCAAGTCGTCACCACTACGAAATGAACAGCAGCACAGGCACCAACTCTTACGTGGTTCCCGTTATTCTCTGGAATCGCCTGCAAGAAGAACTCAAACAACTTAAAGAAAATGTAGCTGCTTCCACCGCCAAGTCCCAA